AATTTTAAAGATGGAGAAGAACGTACCAATAAGCAAGAAGCTATGGAACATCGTACGTTTTGTCATGTACATGTTACACAAAGGCATCTCAAAGCAAAAGCTACTCGCTGACTTTAACGCAACTCTCAAACGTGGCAAGAATCTCATGTTCCACAACCGTCGCCGCGTCCCAGCCGCCGCAAACGCAGCGTCTCAGCCGCGGAAAGAATACGAGTTTAGCTGCAGCGACACTCCAAACTACTCGTTCCCCTTTAACATCGCTTACTTCAAGAAGAAGAGTCACCACATTAGTCTCTTCGCGTGTGGTCACGCGCCACCGACTCTCGACGACGATACCTCCGCCTCTAGAGCTGTCTTGGAGCTGCTAAACGGTGTCGGAGATCAAGAACACGGCGGTAACTCGCCGGCTTTGTCCGTCGAGGCTTTGACGGAGTTATCTCCTTACTTGTCGGGGTTTGGACGGAGTTCTCCGTCAGTGAGGCCTTTACGTGTGACGGACTCACCGTTCCCGTTACGGGAAGATGGTGACGTGGCTAATGGACACGTGGATAAAGCGGCAGAGGAGTTTATAATGAAGTTTTACAAGAACTTGAATCAGCAGAAGAAGATGATTGAGTTCTCTCACCTAAGTAATTAAATCTCCTTTTATGTTCTTTCTTTTAATTTCCTAAATATTCTCTCTACTTTTGGCTGATTTAGTTCCGAAAATGTAATAATATTTTTGGTGGAAGAGGTGGGGGATTATTTTCTCATTACTTGATAAAATTAGATTATCATGAAATAAAAAAAATTGTTTGGGTGACCATTTTCTACACTAACGTGATAAATGTAAATGAATATTTCTTTGAGAGACTATATTTTCTTTAAATATTTGGAAAATTGCAGTTGATGACAATGATTCTTTTCTATAGTTAAGAAATTGAAAAGTTCATAGTAAACAAAATTTGAGTAATTTGGATGAAATATTTGTAGCCTTGAACATATTTTTCAAGCATAATGAGTTGAAATACATTTTGGAAAATGTATTATGGATTTGACATGACAAAATTATGGGATCGAGTGACTTTTTGCATAACATAGTGAGATCGTTAAACATGTTATTAGCGTCAAAATGGCGGAAATGTGGCCTAAATTTTGTAAATGGGGATTAGACGCTTATATTTTAGAATCGCATATAATCAATGATTTTTTCACTGAAACTGTAAATTTGACAAATTTTGTAAATTTGACCAAAAAAAAAAACTAATTACTTACAAAATTAAAACTTAATAAATTTTAGATCAAAACTAGAAAGCGAATTTTACTTGGAACAATTACAAAAATGCCACTTTTTGTGTGCACATTTGCAAAAATGCCACTTAGGGGTCCATTTACAAAAATGCCACTAATTATAGATTTATAAAGCCTATATCTTAAAATTCTAAACCCTAAAAAATGTTTTGACAGCTAAAACCTCCTAAACACTCAAAAGTAAACCCTAATAGAATATAATTAATCCAAACATAAATAATATAAAGAAAAAATAATTTTGAAAAAGTGGCATTTTTGTAAAGATTTTAAAAATGTAGTATTTTTGTAAAGTGGCACTTGAAAAGTGGTTTTTTTTTGAA